AAATTTGGTTGACTGCACACAACATGTTGTATCGAACTTGATTAAATAAATTTAATTAGCAACAAGGGTGTTATGTAGAATCAATGTTTTATTCGAGAGTAAATTTGCTTTTGATTTAATGTAATATTATCAATCAAACGTACAAATACATATACAATGTCCAGGTATGTAACAGCCATTTAAACACTCACCTAAATTTAATAGATGAGCGAATAAAAACCACGTGAACCATCGAATCCAAAAGCACATCTTGTTGAGAAGCTTCATCAAGTGCCGATTGTGCAAACGAGTGAACATAGAAACGTACCATGTCATATAATCGCAAAGAACTAACTGGGGTGACCCACATTGCATTGTTTAACTACATTTGGTCCCCTACTTCATGGCCAAACTGATGACGCCACTCATAATTATGAACGATACACGTCCGGATGTTGAGGACTCTCATAAATACATTCATCGCCCAGCTTTGACGTCATTATCATGAAGACAGTCGTGGAAAAAAAGTACATCCTCGACAAAATATGCTTTAAATCATTGCTGTTAAGTACCATCTTTCCCAATGGGAACCCTGATCTTATATTATTTTATTAAAAAATCATCATATCAACTTTGATCTTCTAATTTAGTTCCAAGAATTTTTTTAAACATCTCTAAGGCTTGAGAATTCAATGAAATAATTAATTAATAGACCAAGAACTTTATTTTAATCAATAGTACTGGTGGAAAACTGAAAGGAATTTATGATGACTTATGTTGAGATTATTGACTCTGATGGCTATTCAAGTTTAGTTTGTGTAGAAATTAATCTTGTAATTAGATTTTAAAATATGTTCTCCATGAATATTGTAAGTTATTTAAAAAAATTACAAAAATAAAAATACTTAATTTATGTAAATAAAAAAATATGCTTGATGTTTCTTTTAGCATTGCATGAGTTGTAAAGATTAATCAAAATAAGCATTTGAAGGTGTATATATTTTCACACAATTACAACTATTTTAAATTTGCTTTGAAATTTTGCTTTTAGAGTAAATAATTAAATTTCCAGTACATTTTGCTCCAGAACTACATGGAAAGAATTTTTTCACTAAAGGTAAGTGCAAAAAGTGACAAGTCCACGTTTTGAAGTTTAGAAGTAAAAATATTTCTATTTGATAATAAATTTTGAGTTCTTGTAAGTTAACTTGATACTTAAGAAGTGTCTTGGTAAAATAATTACTTAAGATAACTCAAAATTCACTGTTAAACAGAAAGATTTTCACTTCTAAACTTCAAAACGTGAACTCGTCTCTTTTTGCACTTACATTTAGTGAAAAAATTCTCTCCATGTACTCAAGATTAAGACTCGATAATAGTTTTAAAATTGTTGTCGAGTTGGCTTGAATAGAGTGTTGTAAAAAACAGTGGTTGCTAAAAAAAATGTACTAAAAGACATTTTCATACATTATTTTTAAACAACGATAAACTACTGCTTCAAGTATTATTTCATTCACTTCTAAACAGTTATTAACATAGAAATATTCCTTATGAAATGAACCATTATTTTTAATCTTCCACTTTACATTTTCACTTTCCTAAATAAAAAATAATCTTTTACTTCAACTCTTGTTTCTCAATTGAAAAATAAAATTGTCCAGAATAGAAAGGATAATAGAAATAACGACGAGAGAAAACTACGATTTACGGATCGTGTTGCTACAAAGTCATACATTGCAATTTCTATAATAAAACAGGATATACTCAAGTACTTTATCTTATATTTTTTAGCAATATAAAATATCTCAAAAAAGTAAAACGAAAAAAAGTAGGAAAAATAGAATAATATAACTAGAGAAAAGTACATTTACGGCCTTTTGTGGTGTTGAAGAGACATGATGAGTAGGGAGGAAAGTTTTGTCGTTGTCGTAGCAACGTTAATCTACAGGGAACTCTTTACATCAACTAATGGTACTATTTTAAAAAAAATTCAATGAAAAATTATATGAAAAAGACATCTCAAATTTGTAAATCATCCTGTCAAGCTCCGATAAAATAACGGAGTGGTAATAAAGAAAAAAGCTAAACATAAATTTAAATGATCCATCAACTATTTTTTTTTTCATCAAGGTTTTTATCACGGAATTTAATTGTAATGTGTTGGAAAGCTGGTGCAGAATAATATAATTAAATGTACCAACTTCTAAGCTGAGTGAACCAGAAGACCTAGTGGTGGTAGGGAGAGTAAGAAGAACAGTCTATGTGGGAAGAAGGAAGGAACAATCTAATGTCATGGACACTTTGTTGGCAAAGTGGAAAATACATTGGTGGTATAATTGAAGGTATATGAGTCTAAATATGGTAGCAAGGCATTAAGGGACTAATCGATAAGGAAAGGAAGAACTATTGACATTTTAATAATTGCTAAAATGATCAGGTTTCGATTGGACACCTGGGTACTTGCAGAAACCCTTAGAGAAAGTTGCTTATTGTTATGGAGCAATAGAGACTGCAATTGAACAATAAAGAGCACCTGTTTGGTTAATTTATTACAGATATTTTGATTTATGATGATAAAAATAAACATAGTTTAATTTATACCAATTACACATTTACTTGTACTAGATTGGTAAATTTATTTAAATATGTTGTAGAATAATAGATGGTATTATACCAAGAAATCAATAAATTTTTTTGTTGCGTGTACTCTTCAACGACTCTAACCATATGTTGTTTAATAATTCTCAATAATATTTTAGTATAAAATGAAATAAAAATATTTCAAGTTGATCATCTTAGTAATAATAATAATGAGTATAATTTTTTCATGCTTTAGATAATAAAATTTGTGTATAATAATAATTTTAATTATAAAAATATCATATAAAGTTGGAAATAATATCTCATAAAATGTCATCAGTTAATAAATTAATTTAATTACTTCAATGTACTGGACAGATAAAATAAAATTTAATATTTAGTTACTTTGTTATATAAAATTTTTGAACCTTCTGACATTTTATTGATTCAATGTACTAATTTTGTATACACCTTATAATATAGTTGATCACGATAATTTTAGCTATTGATTTGTAATCTTTTTTTATTATTATTAATATTAAATTAAAATGCTAATTTTTTTTTTATAGGAAGCCTTTTTTATCATCATTTGTTATTTGAAAATAAGTATAACGTATTGAAGACGTTATAATATAACCTTAATTTGCAAAAGAAAAGAAAAATTATGTCTAATAATTGAATATAATAATGCTTACTAAGAACTTAAGATGATTGATAAAGTCTTAGGAATACATAGTAGATAAATAATGTACCTGTTAAAAAACATTTCTCTATTATGTACCACGCAAATAAACTTCTTTACCTCGAATTAAATCTGTTCTGCTTATTATACATTCAAACTAGACTGTACAAAAAAACTAAAAAAAAATTGCAATATATTTTAGACATGGCATAAACAAATCAACAGGCAAAGCTCACCTGTTAAATTAACTGACAATTCCAGCTGGTGAAAGTCAACAACACACACCTTGAACTTCTGAAAGCTACTGAATAAAGCTTTATATGAACACGATTTTAGCGAGTCTTAATTTATGAATTAAAAATTAAAGTCATCATTTTAATAAAAACATTTATAGCTTAAATTTTTTTTAAATCTCAATAAAAATGCTGAAAATTGTGCACTTTATTAAAAAACTAATTCACAATTAGGAACATGTAAATGGCCAAGGTCACGCACGCGTTAGTCATTGGATGACACATTATGAATTGTCACGGGTTTATAAACACGGTCAAAGTTCGTAGATGGTACACAATAAACAAGTAACTATAGCAAAGGGATTCTACGTTATCAGAGAAATGTTTCGGCGGCCTTGACGTCGACCTGATGACTGAAACATAGAACGCGAGTCGCGCAACATGACAGCCCCCGGGCCAGGTTGAACGCATGCGCCCTTAGAATTCAGTGCCCAACCCTATTTTCCTCTTCGACGAGATGCATCATTCATGAACACTATTCCGTCATCGACGGACTCAATTTTCGGTCATATACATCTCTGCGAAAACAACTTTCGTGTCTGCATACAATGGAACGACGATGTTTGCTCACCACCTCTCGTGAAAATGTCTGTCATTGTTTTTGCTTTGTTTGACTTTACAAAGGGGAGCTTTTGGATTAATATCAAGACTTTAAGCTTACAGACGGCCGTTTGAAAAGTCTCTGCAAGTCGACTTGGTTGATACGTAGGGGACATCAATGTCACGACGTTTACTTTGAGTTGGAAAACTGAGAAAAGAGAAAATGCAAGTGTAATTAACAAGTAGAAATGGTAAGGTTGTGGTCAGAATACACTTTTATCAATAAGCGATGAGAAAGGTGTTGGTGGTGGCACAAAGAGAAAAAATACCAGTTGAAAAAAATAGAAAATATAATGAATAAAAGATAATTAGATATTAAATATTAAATTATATTGTATTAAAATATGCTCTGCACGCAAAAATGAGTATCAATATGAGATTTTTGTTTAGATAAAAAAGTAAAATACGTTGGTGAGTTCGAGTAACGGTGATGTTATCAACTCGAATTATTGAATCCACAAATTATTAAACCCCAGCCGCACAAAATCGACTAACATCATTTATTCAGGCAATGTAATGATACCGAATCTTTGATAAAAGCAGGAAATTGAACTAAAGCCCACGTAATAATTGCTGTATCGATCTGAATTAATTAAAACATTAACGATAATAGTTTTCAATTTAATCATGATTATGAACGTTAAAAAGTTTCTAAAAGTAAAATTAGAATTTTTTAAATTCGTAATTCATCTATCTACTTTATTTTCAGCACTTCAACTACTTCTTCAAAATCTACTATTTAATTCAGTCCTTAATTCATTATTAAACGCTATTTATAGTTTAAGTATCTAGACATTTTTATTTAATAGAAAAAAACTGAAAATAATTTTATCTGATTTGGTTGGAGTTTAGAAAAAAAATGATAATTAATTGTGAATAAATTTAATTAAAAAAGTACTATAATAAATAACAATAGACATCATTGATAATCACAAACATCACTGAAGTAATCTTTCATCTTTTAATTCTATCCGGGGGAATTCAACAGCCGTTTCAATCCATTTAGCTACTCTAAATAATTGCTCTTCGTGCAAAAATGGTGCCATTAATTGCAAAGAGAGTGGTAGACCTTTAGAAGAAAGAGTAATAGGCACATTGATCGCAGGAATACCGGCCATGTTTGCTGGTTGAGTACAATAGTCTTGAACCGAGCATTGAGTTTGATTATCAATTGAAATAAAGTCTTTATAAAGTGGAGCGTCTGATAGTGTTGTAGGTGTTAAAAGTATATCAATATTCGAATTCCAAACATTGTCAAAATCTTCAGCAATTAATCGCCGAATTTTCATGGCTTTTACAAAATAGTCTTCGTAATTATCTTCTAAAAGAAAATAGTTTCCTGTTAATATTCTGCTTCTAACAACATCATTAAATCCAAGACTTCGCGTTTTAGCATATAACTCCTCGGTAGAAGATGATTCATCTGCCCTAAAACCATATTCTATTCCATCATACCTTGCCATGTTGCTTGCTACTTCACATTGGTTTAACACAGAATAACAAACTATTGAATATTTAGTATGTGGTAGAGATACTGGAATAACAGAAGCTCCAGCTTGCTCTAATAAATTTGAAACTTTTTTCAAACATTCTGCAATATCCTGATCTAACTCTGGTAGATGATACTCTTTAGGAATACCAATTTTAAGCCCTGTAATATTTAAACTTGAAGAATCTTCTAATTTCACTGGATTAAACTCCTTATCTAAAGTCGTAGAGTCCAATAAATCAGGTCCGGCAATGGCATTGAAAACCAGAATGCAATCGTCAATGTTTCTAGTTAAAATGCCGGGAACATCCATTGAATTTACTAGAGGAATTAACCCATGACGAGATAAAAGGCCGTAACTTGGTTTAAAACCAACGAGACCGCAGTAAGCAGCGGGGTTTCTTGTTGATCCTCCAGTATCTGATCCTAAAGCGGCGTAACAGGTTCCTGAAGCTACTGCTACTGCTGATCCTCCACTGCTTCCGCCTTAAAGCAAAATTTTTATTTTTAAAATGATTAGAAAAGAGGATTTATCATTTAATTAACTTAATTTATTTTTATTTAAATAAACATTTTTTTTCCAATTATGTAAAGTTGATCTTAATTAAATTTTATTTATGAGAATGATAATTAGATTCAGGTTAAATTGAAATCAACATCATAAAGTAACCTACCAGCAATAAACCAATCATCATGAAGATGACGACACTTTTGAAGTTTTTCTGAACAAAACGAATTAGCACTTGTATAATTGCACATAATATCTGATCTCCAAATATTTTTCGTTGGTCCAAAGTAAGAATCTACTGTACCAGCACCCATAGCAAATTGATCTAAATTAGTTTTGCCCATTAAAACAGCTCCATTTGTTCTTAGTCTTTCATACACAGTAGCATTGTATCCAGGAACAAAATTAGCCAACATCAATGACCCACATGTTGTTGGGATGTCTTCAGTACAAAAATTATCTTTAATAGCAATGGGAATACCATCAAGATCGCTTAGTAGCTTTCTATCACGTTGTCTTTGATCAGATTCTTTGGCTTGCTCTTTTGCTATTTCATCAACCACATGAATGTAAGCATTCAAAGGTTTTATTAGTGAAATTAATGTAAGAGTTGATTGACAAATTTCTGAAGGTAGTAATTCACCTGATGCTATTTTTGCACTTACTTGCTTTATGGGTGCTGACAATATTTTATTCATTGTTTTAACATTTAAACAGTACAGAAAAATTCATTGTTGTTTATGAAAAAATAACCTCTTAAAAAATGAAAGCATCACACGTGAGACGGTCATGAATGGACATAGTGGAGCTATCTAGTGACACAAAGATCCACTCGTGAGTTCAGAATTTGATGTGTTGATAAAGATACAATTTGAAAGAAAGTTAATTTTTTTTCATTAGTTAAAAAATAAAATAATGAAATAATTCTTTCTTTGTATGCAAGAAGTTTTTTTTTTAAAAAACCATCAAAAAATTAATAGATTACGAATGTTAAATTTAAAAAGCATTAATGTTTAATTAATGGCATTATATTAGTAAAAACAAAAAGTTTATGTTAGTAATTATTT